AGATGACGTTACATTTTTGTTTCTCATTTTTTCCATGAGGATTGCCTGAAAATTGTCAGCTTCCATTCCAGGATTCATTTTCATGCCGTTAAATGGATATGAGTTGAAAATTTTGAATGTAGTCTTTCATTAAGTGCTTTCTATCTTCAAATTTGAATAAAACAAATTTTGTGTGTGGTATCATCAAAATTATTTATTTCTTTGAAAGACGTATTGATGCCTTTATTTGTGAAGCATAACATCGTTCAAATGTCTACGACGGCTCCTCTGGATGGAGCGCATCTGAAATGTCTGATTTTTCATGACACAGGCGCATAAATCAAGCTGAAATTGACCATTGTTAAGTTGGCTTTGAGGGCCGATGTGATTTGTGGCTTATTTGCATATAACTGCGACTTAAGAGAACACTACGAAAACAAGTCTAACGGGTTCAAATGGAACGATCTTAGTGGCCAGTTCACATCACCTCCACGTGAGATGGATGATTCGAAACATACATTGAATAGAACACAATTTATTGATGGAATTCATAAAACCCCAACTTTCTGCCGAAGAATTCTGTTTCAAAACGAATTATTGAAAAATTTATATGTTCAAGATTTTTCAGATTATCTACTTCGTCACCTAAAAATTGAAGATGAAAACACAAAATTATTATATACTTCAAAATTTGGCCTCATATGAGGGGAAATTTTGTTCTTAAATTTGGTATAAAGTTCAGTTTCAGAAATCCTGGAGTGTATGAATTATCATATGGGTCATGTCCGATATTTTATATAGGCCAATCTGGAAGGAAGTTCGAAGCCCGCATGAAGGAACACAGAAATAGTTTCCAGAATGGAAAAATAAATTCTACATATTCCACTCATTTATTCGCAGAGAGGCATGGGTTCAACCATGAATTCAAGTCCCCCCATTTTCAGAAGAAAGGTTGGAAACTTAACCTGTTGGAGAGTATGGAAATAAACAAAACCAAAAACTATCAATATCCAATGAACGATCAAACTCAAGTGAATAATTCGACATTTTTGAATCTGTTTATTTATGTAAGACAAGTCAAATATTTAAGGTACTTTTGACAAATTAAATTTATTCATATAGTTAACGAATTCATACCTGACCTTGGAGTAAGAAAGTTAGAGTATAAAATTGTTGTAATTTAGAAGTAACTTTAAGTTTGCACTTGAGAAAGCCATTGTATAAAGAAACACGTGTCGCGGTTTTTGTGAAGTCCTTTACAGTGAAAATCTGTATTAATTTTTTTTTTTTTCGTTTTCATTGATTTGTGACACTGTGCATCGCCTTCTTGATGACTCAGTACTGCTTTCTCTTCAAATGGGGTCGTTTTTCTCCGATTTCGGCCTTCAAAAGCTCAAATGACGCTGTATATCCACTGTTGCCCATGTAGTAACATATAATTACTGATACTAAGGTATCAGCAACAGGATATCGACAGTAAGTAGTAGATTCTATTGAAGAAGTAGACTTCACTGGAGAGAAAGTGTTCAGATTGGATTTTTGCAGCGGAGGTAAAAAGTTACACAAATGGCCTCAAAAAGGAACTCATCAATCTATTAATTTCATTTCGCGAGCTTCCGCATACTCCCATAAATCAGAAGCAGACGAACAAATAACCCTCATTTGAAAATGTTTTCAGGCAACTCTTGAGTGCAGAAAACAATTCGATATTCCGACCTGACACAGCGGCATCGCGAACGTGTTATTTAAATTAAACAAAAGCATTAATTCACGTCCAGAATTCTATTTGTGTTGCGTTTCCGAATCCGCAGGAGCTATTTATTTCGAATGCACACTTTCAGGGCGCCTCTCCGTCTCACCGATTCTTCTAGTTTCTATTCAGGCCAACTCGAAGAGAACAAAAATAAGTGTGAAGCTCGATAAGTTTAACTGGAATTTGGTGGCAAAATGAGGGTAACGTCTTCCTCAACACTTTACTGTTAACGTGATCATTGATATTCCTTTAAATTAAAGGAAGTGGAGGTCTAGTCCTTCAACTGACTTATCTGTTGACAGAACATATTTACTTCAAAAGCAAATATGCATGTCCCTTCCATCTAATGATATAATTTCGCTTCCAAAACATTGTTCTCTGTGCGTATCAAGTTACACGGTACGTAGTCCAAATCCTGTTAAGTTCGCCCGAGCTATGCTAATATCATGGCGGATGTTAATCTGCTGATTCTTGGGTCCCATTCGGGCCACCCGTAACAGATGTTTAGTCTCCTGTGTTGAGGGTTTAATAAAGGTTATTAGAGTAGTATGTTATCGTATTCTGATAGCGTGAACGCAATGAGCAGGTGCTCTGCAGAAAGACTACACAAGAAAGAGAATTACCAGTAATAATAATAACTTTATTCACAACGTATACAGATTAGAGTACAATTAAAACAAAATATGTGAACAAAGTGGTTTGACGATAAGAGTAGAGCTCTTGTTTCGCAAAAAGTTATATATTTGTATAAATCAAGTGTCTGCCTCATAGAATATCGCAGTATCGTCTGCGTATCCAATTATTCTCCCAACGCTGTCCAAATTGAATAATCCATTTAGATATAAATTGAAAAGCAGAGAGAGGACCCAGTACCGTACCGTGTGGGACTCCACATTCTATTTGTTTTTGATTGCTAATTGTATCTGCAATTCGTACAACTTGCATTATATTTCGAAGATAGCTTTCATAAAGCGTATGGCAGTTCCCTCTGATACTCTGGTAGGAGTAGTTGATGATCGACAATATCGAAAGCCTTCGTTAGGTCTATAAAAAGACATAAAGAAGGTTTTACTTTCTCCAAGGATTTATGTACCAATTCTGTCACATTAAGAATCGCTTCTTCGCTTCGCTTCTCGAAAAACGATAAAAGCCATTTCCATTGAAAAATGTTTGTTATCATTTGCTATTCCCGAAATATAAATAGTACTCTCGTATACAATAATTATTGTTAATATAACATGTTCAATACCTTTTAGTAATTTTTCAAAGTCGGCATTTTGAAGACTTCTCAAAGAGTATTCTGAAATACTTCATTCTAAATATCGTGTTTCCTCTTGCAAAGAAACCCTTTATTTGGGTTCAATGGGATTTAACAATGATGAGGGGGCAGACGCAGACTTCATTCCCAAAATTTCGTCATCAAATTCGAAAATACGACTTTAAACTCGAAACAAGAAAAATCGATCAATCAGGAAAGTAGTAGGCGGAGTCAAGTTGGTACAAAATTATTGAGAGTGGCAAAAAAAGCCAAGCGTCTGGTAGGGCCTGCACTTTTCATAGATTATGAATAGAAATAGATTGGAAAACCGCACTACTTGTATTAGCAGGGTTTGATAATATCCAGCTCGAAGGACCAATGTTTGATCACAATTCTTATGCACAATTATTGGTTCCAAAATAACATATAATTACTAAATTCATTCGTAATGTAACAACTCGCGGTGAATTATTCGTGAGTCAAACATTCAACAGATATCTGGCTCGAAGGACCAATGTTTGACTCACGATTAGTTTATCGCAAGTTGTGATATCACGAATAAAATGTATAGTTCAAGACTTATTATTAGACTTGTACGTAACCGTTCTATAAAGTTACTTCACAATTCTCGTGCACATTTGTCGGTTTTGAAATGGAATATTATCAATAATTTTATTCGTTATATCACAACTCGCGGTCAACTAATCGTGAGTCAAGCAGGATCAATCATTAAACATCAGGAATTGTCGATCCACAAATTTTCCTCTTGTTTAGAAAAAAACCTGCAATGGAATATACATGAGGATGAAAAACATTTCAAGCTAATTCTGAACGCATTCATTCAATTTTTCCTATTTCAGCAACAGACGCAATATAATTTCGATTGATAACTCAAACTTTCATGCTTGGAAAGACTCAGAAAGCCAAAACACTGGGATGATGAGATGAATGCGTGACATAATGGAACTGTTTACCAGCTCCGGGGAGTTCAAATATGAATAGAAGCGGGGATGCCAAATTACCAGATGAATGATAAATTTTCTCCTGGACCCTCAAACATCGTTCTACATCCATCTGAAAGGAAATACTACTCAGATAAGTTACTTTGCCGGCTAACTCGAAAGGGTGGATACGAATTCCGGGAAAGGTGGGAAAACAGTCAAGTGTGTGCCCTGGTTTTCTACAGCATGGAAAAGAAATACGAGGTATGTCCAAAAAGTTGGGTAAATTTTCATTCCCCTCAAAAACATTATTCATTCATCAATTTCTATTTTGTCCCATTCATAGTGATCTCCTTCAGATAAAAAAAGGTCGGATGTGCAGTTTTTGGTAAGTCCTTGAGACATCTCAGCGATTCNATGCTTTTTGCTGAATCCTACCAAAACATAGTCCCCCTCTTCAAATGTCGTTCTTTCAAAATCAGTTTCTTCTTGACTTTCATTTACTTCTTGGTTAATTATGTCCAGTAGGTCTGTTACATCATTTCCATCTTCTAAAACTAAATCCACATCTTCATTTTCAGATTCACTATCAAAATTTAACTATTTAATGTGTCCTCTTGTATTTTCATTTCTCTTCTTGGCATTCAAGGTTTTGGGCAATGATTCCGACTTTTTTCTCTCTCGAATTTTATCTTTCTCTGGGGAATCTGTAGCTATTTTAGAAGACTCTGGTTTCCTTCCTTTTTGTAGGCCTACCTTTCGTCTAATCGCCACCATAGGATAAGGTTGGATCTGCTCCGGAGTTATGATGGGAGTAGTAGTCATACTATTTGGATTAACTTTCTCTTCTTGGGAATATCTCACAGACGAACATTGGCTCATTGACGGCCCTGCAACACTTTCCTGACACCAGCTTGTATCCTTTCTTTTTGAAGGTTGGGTGTTATCTACCCCAGTATCAGTCTCAACTAAATCTGAAGCTGGGCGATCCGTTACATAGGATGGCAAATAATCATCATCATTAAACACGCCTCTATCTAAAGGGTAAATTCCTGCTTTTTTGAAGCCACTAGTTATGTTGATAGTGGTGATAAGCTTGCCCAACACATTCTGCAACACTATAAATGTCAACTCTTTTTCCAGCGTTGTTAATAAGCCAAGATTGAACTGCTTGATTGTAATAAGCCTTGAATGGAAAATAGACAGAAAGATCAAGTGGTTGTAATCTATGAGAAGTGTGGGGTGGAAACGTTACAATTACTACTCCAGCATTAGATGCTAAGTCCAACATGTGGTCTTTATAATTCACTCTAGGAAATATCATCATAGGAGGTATGTGATTGCCTAAAGCATTGACACAAGCAGATACTGTTATCAGCTCCCCACGCTCTGCTGACGTCACGTTACCAACCTGTTTTACACCTTTAGGTGCGACAATTTTCGGAGGATTCTGCACCGTGGTCACGCCGATCTCATCTTCGTTCCAAATCCTTTCGGGTGGGAATGGACCAAAGCACCTGTGGACGTCCTCCAAATTATCAAAAAATCTACTCACATTCGATTTATTAAAACTAGTTGCACGTGACATGCTAGTTTTTTCAGGATTTCTTATGGCTAGGCCACCTTCGTTGAAATGCCGTTTCAAAAATAGCCTCATCCACTCTTCTCCTGCGAATTTACTTCCGTTCCATGTAGGAGGGAACCTCTTTTTGTTTGCCACAGCAAATTTATATGCTAATTCACGAACCTGTTTTTTGGATAGACCATAATTCATTTTTGCTGTAGTTTTGATGTAATCAACTAATTTCAATTCCTCCTCCTTTGTAAATACCTTCTTGACACAATAGCTGGCCTTATATTGAAAGTTTGTTGCACCAGATATTTTGAAAGCATCAAGAGTAGCAAATTTAACATTAAAAATTCTACAAGCTTGATATCCTCTTCTCTGGAGATCCAGTAACTGCTTCAACTGCTTTTTTCATCGACTCAGGGTCAATAGGATTTCTTTTTTTTCCACTTGTACTTCGTGGCATACCTACTGACCTATAACAACGAACGAAATAATTGTAACATCATGTACCTCTGATGACTGATCAGTGGTACAGGACGTTGTTTTGATCCAAGGTACATGATGGTGCGTTTTTTCAAACTCAACCTCCTCAACATTCTAGGTTAGGACTAAAACTGGAATATTGCTCAACATATTACTCTCCAATAAGCAGTGATTCAGATGGAATATTATTTCAAATACAAAACACTATAGTCAACGTGTTAAAAAATGAAGAGTAAAGCCAAAAGTCGTTACTTTTCGCACAAAGGAAATGTTATTCAACTCTACTCAGAAACAATAGCACATAGCCAACCACTTTCCCGCCTGTTTGCACTCTACTGAGTAAACGCTTTCTTAGTTCAATCGCTGTGGTGCAGATGGTAGCATCTGTCAGGAAACTGAAGGGTGATCCAAAGTACAATATGATCAAGGTACAACAGTCTCCCTAATATAAATTGATTTGATAACCCTGAAAAAAATCAGAAAAATTAACTCAAAAATTAAGTTTCTAAAGATATTCGAAACTAGAAGTACTATTAATTTTGAAGTGATCTATTCTAGTAACAAACAAGATGGGTGAGTTATTTATTCTATTTTTTCTATCATTTCAAATGTCGTTTTGAAGTACTAGTATTTCGTAACACACAACAGTTATGGAAATAGTCGAAAGTAAACCAAAAAGCTGGTATTATCATCCTCATTGTTCTCAAATTATCGTTAAACACATTCAATGTCGGGAAAACAATTCGGCTCTTTTCTATACGGAGATGAAATTTCAAGTGAATACTGTTTGGAAGTAACTATTATTATCACCTTCCAGGTAACGAAACCGAAGAAACTCTGGTCCAGTTGCTAGTCAAAGAACTAATTTGTAAATCCTGCTCCGCCCAGATGTCCCCTCCGCTAATCCAATGTTTTTCTGGACACCATGAATGCAGTGAGTGTATTGAGAAATCTGAAAAGTGTTCTATATGCGCTTCACCGAGAAACTCCAGTGGAAATATGTTTTTGGAAAGACTGGGTTTCAGAACAACGCTGAAATGTCCTTTCGCCAATAAAGGTTGCCTATTCTCAGGCAAGGCATTGGAGGTTGCAGCTCACGAAAAAGTTTGCATCTTTGGTTCCAAACCATTTCTTTCAAATGGTAAACGCAATGCTATGGAAAGTGACGCATTTGAAAATGTTGGTTATGTCAAAACTGTGGAGGAGAGTCTATCCAGACGAGGAGCAGATATTGGAAAAGGTGAGTTTTCATCCTGAATTTTTGTCATTTGCCCTATTGGTTCACACAAAAATTATTTTCTGTATGAAAACGAAAATTTATTTCATGCCTTTTTACAGATTCGCCCGGAGAATTTTTGGAAGAAGTATTTGCCTCAGCGTTAGAGTGTCCTATCTGCTTGACGCAAATTTTACCACCCATAAGAGCATGTCATAACGGCCATCAAATTTGTACCGCATGTTTCTACCGAATAGACGATTGTCCAGTGTGTCGTGGCCCGAAAATGTTACAGACCAACACATTTTTAAACCAAATTATCAAGAGACTAGATGTTCGTTGCAAGAATGCTTCCAACGGCTGTCAAATAACCAGAAAAGGTGGATCCATTATTTGTCACGAATTAGTGTGTGGATTTGGCTTCAAGTCGTGCCCATTGAAAATGACCGTAGAATGCAGATGGAGGGGTTTGAAATCTGACTTCGTAGATCATTGCGTGAAGCAGCATGCTGGCATGATCAGTTTGAAATCTGAAAATTCGTGGGATTTGAGGAATTTCAAGGAAGAACACCGCCCTCAATTCAATCTGCTTTACGTTCACGGTGTTATTTTCAGATGTGGCTGGGAGAGACATGGTCTCTCAAGAAGATTCTCCGTGAATCACATACGAGATAGAAAGAACGCGACGACATACACTTTCGAACTCAATATAGTCCATCCTGGATCTGATGACATCTTTATAGGTTTCAGTGGTAAATGTTTTTCTGTTAGGAATTTTCTTGGCAGATCTGTGGCTACTCGTCATATAGTTTTAGCTGAAAAAGATGTTTTAGGTCTTTGTGATGTTCATGGTGATCTCAGCTATATCATAAAAATCAATAAAACTATTTGAATCTTCTTTTTTTTTTATTGAAATCAGTATCAATGATGTTGATTATTGTATAAATCTTTGAAATACACTGCTTGTGATAGAAACGAAAATTCAACTTGACAAGTATTGAATCAACACAATGTTTCTGTCTTGTTTAGCAAACGTGAACGTGAACTAGTCTCTAGAGAAAGTTCATTCATCAAGTTCTCGACATAGAATTGAGAAAAGAACAATATACTTAAATTTAATGTATAAGTTTGAAAAGCTCATATTAGACCTTCTTTGGAGTATTGTTCTTATGTATTGTTCTAAGCATATCCTGAAGCTGCTGGATTCCATGCAGACCAGAGCCATCCGCCTAATTGGAGACGCGAACATCACTTGCAGCCTAGATAGTCTGAAACATCGAAGAAAGGTTGGCGATTTGTCTCTTTACTATAGATACCTCCAAGGCAAATGTTCACGTGACTTGGCATATTTGATTCCATATATCAGGAATACGCGACAGGCTGTGGCTGCTCATCGTTTTTGGATTCAACCCAGTAAACCTCGAACTTCACTGGCACTGGCACTTTTGGCAAAAAATCTCAGACTTCTTAGAGACATATCAATCGAAAATTCTCATCCCAGAAAACTTCTGAATGAAATAATTTTCAATACTGGCAGTTATACAAATTCCGATGTAATTACGAGAAATGTATCTAATGATAGTTATTCCTTGTAACAATTGTAACTTAACTTATATTGGAACAACATCTAGAATTCCTAATGATAGAGTAACTTCACATAAAAGTGATATGCAGTTCAATAAGAAATCATGTGCATTAGCACAACACTCTATAGAAACAGGACATAAACCAAATTACTCCAATATCAAAGTTTTACATACAGAAAAAAAATATTTCCTAACGCCTTTTTTTTTAAATGATTGAAATTAATAAGTCTTCTGATTGTGTGAATAGGAAAACTGACATTGATAATCTCAGTAGTATATACAGTAACTTACTGGAACTACATCAAAAACATAATGATAATGACATTTGCATCAATCAATAACTCTTTCTTTAGAATCAAAAATTATGAAATCATCATACCCATTGAAAAATTACATTTATGTGAAGGTATGACATTTGTCAAACCCACAAAAATCCTATACATGTATAACTTCCTCGTCAATTTATATGTTCAATTTATTTTTTTCTGCTCAATTTTACTGTAAGTTGATTTATAATGTTATTCAATGGCGAAAATATTCACAACTCATTAAATTATAGGCCCTGAAAAAGCTTCCCATTAGAAGCGAAAGCTTGGCCAAGTAAAGCAGTTTGATTTTTGAGTTTTTGACTGAGATAGATAAAATAGGTAAAATAGATTAACAGGTTAGGTTAGGTATCTAACCTAACCTAACCTAACCTGTTAATCTATTTTACCGTACAGTTCTCCAGTCGCTAAGATTTTCCACTTTATATAAAGATAAATATATAAGAACCATTCTGATCATTCCCATATTGATTTCAATTCAAGAGCCACCGGTAGACAGCTGTTTCAGCCTATTGGGCATCGTCAGTACCGGGCAAGCGGTCCTCGATTGAAGACAAAATGTGAAAAACCAAGATAAGTACTCAATAGAAATAACTGCGTAAGAGCAAGTGAGACATAAGTGGAACCACCTATTGATGTGCCCAACAGGTTGAAACAGCTGTCTACCGGTGGCCCTCAAATTGAAATCAATATGGGAATGGTTATGTTAGATGTAGCCTGGGAATTCTAGGTCTTCTAACTGGAACCACAAATGTGCGGTTGGCTTCTGTTGTTGACTCCGTGCGTCTATGTTGTTTCCTGCTTTCGGTAAACAAGTGTTGCCCATCTTTACACTTAGCTGCACCGCGCTGATGGGGCCAATAGCCAGAAACACGTGTTCTGCTCTCTCATGGTCACGGACCATGCAGAGAAAGGGATCTGAACTCCTGACGATTATACAGGCTTTATCCAGTACCATTCTGTGTAAACACTCCAAACTCAAAAGTCCACGGCTTCCTTGCTGTCTTGGGCAGTACAACTGTAAAACGGACGATATAGGATGCAAACTCCTATAAAGATGCATCATTTTTCGGGTCAGCTGTCGTGTAGTACCTCTAAAACAGGCAAGAATATCGTCTACATATCTGTACCAAAAATGAATATGTTTTTTACCCAGGTCGGAGTTTACTATCTTGGTCTCCAAGTTGTTCATAAATATGTCTGCTAAAAGTGGACTAAGGGGTGAGCCCATTGGTAAACCTGAATCCTGTTTATAGAATTTGTTGTTGAACTGTAGGTAACTCCGATTAGGCACAAATCGAATCAGAGTTACAGAGTTACAAATGACCAAGTCGATTTAATTTACTCTCCGGTTTTTAAATTGGCACATGCGCATTGTGAATTGTAAATTCAGGTACTCAATCAAGTACCTGAATGGTATATATTAGCGAATATAATTAATCATTCTTAGTTTATTATTTAAGTTTGAAAATGTCCATATAGGACGAAACTGCAGTAACGTTAGTTACAAATAAAAGTGGTAAAAAACATAGAAACTTTCATTTCTCTTTTCATCATGATCTCCTAACACATAGTAACGGCTACATCCATCAATTTACTTATCATTTTGAAGAGTATATACAAAATTGTCACGAGTCCTTTGAGAAACTTCAATCTGTCAAACAAAGGAGGTAGAATTCCAGCTGATGATTTGTCAAACTGAAGAATTGAGTTACAGAGAAATAGTGTTCTGAGGCAATTTCCACCCTTTCAAAAAACCACATAATGAAGTGGTCATCTTGAATGGATACAAAGAAGAACAAACGGAAGTGTCTGGAAATGGAGTTATTGAAGCAATATTGAGTTTCTCGCTTGCGAATTGTACGCCACGCTGGTTACTTAGTACGATGTATTCAGCTGTCACAATCATATACACCACATTGGAAAAAGAAATCGTCCAATATCCCGCCTCAAATTTCCTATTCAACTCTGGATATATCGAAGTATTTTTTGTGTACGTGAGCTTTGTGGACCAGTTTGTGTGGAAAATCTACGAAGTTATGGATGATATACTCAAATTTTCTCCATCAGTATGATGGCTAACGATGTGAATTTTTTCTTTGAAATTTTTATAGCAACTCATACAGTATGGGTAAAATATGAGCAGTGAATTCAAGACGAAATATTTTTATTTTTTGGTGAAAACTCTCCTTTTGGAATACTAAGTTACGACTGTGTGCCTCTCACGTTACAACCTATTTATAGCACCTGAAAAAAGTAACAGAGTTTTTCATACAGGGTGTTGATGTTTATTTATCTACTTAGTCACTCATCTCTCGAAAATTTTTGAAAAGATTATCAAAAAAGGCTTATCTCTCTCCTTGATAAATACAATCTGATTTTCAACAATCAATTCGGATTTAGAGAAAAAATGTCAGCCCAAGATGCTATACTCACTCTGACTTCAAAAGTAACTGAGGCCTTGAATGAAAGCAAAACCAGTCTGTGTGTCTTCATTGACCATTCGGAAGCATTTGACACCGTCAGTCACCATCTACTCATTCAGCCTTTAGAAGATATCGAATATGGGGTAACTCATTGAAATTATTTGAAATTTATTTAACAGGGAGGGGCCAAGCAGTGAGAATCGATGATATATTGAGGAGTGATAAGGTGATCGACTGTGGAGTACCTCAAGGTTCCGTTCTCCAACCGATGCTGTTTCAGCCTATTGGGCATCGTCAGTACCGGGCAGGCGGTCCTCGATTGAAGACAAAATGAGAAAAAACCAAGAAAGTTCTTGATAAAAATAGCTGCGTAAACGCAAGCGAAACATAAGTGGAACCACCTATTGGTGTGACACCCAAGTCAACTTGTTATAAACAGTCGGAATCGCAGATGACACTGCTATCGTTTACAAAGCAGATAACTGGAATTCCTTGACTGGACGTTGGCTGGATAAGAAACTATTGACGGTGAATATTGACAAAACGCATTGCCTACCATTCTGTTGTAATGCAGCTGGATCACCCCCGTTCGATCAAATAACAGTGAATACTAATACACCTTTCCACAACTTTCCTGAAAAGAAAATAAAATAGATAATTCTAGACACCAATTTGAAATGGGACCTCCATATTGAATATACCGTCAATAAATTGAGGATCATTCTATTCAAATTTAGGAAACTTAAAGAACTCTTACCTATAAAATATCTCAAAACTTTATACTACTCGATTGTGTAAAGTCATATCCGCTATGGAATAGTAGTTTGGGGAGGAACATTGAATAGTCATATTTCTCAAATTGAAATTATGCAAAGGCGTTTTCTTAAATTAATATTCTCTAAAAATTGTAGGTATTTCTCTGATAGAGTATACATCGAAACTCGTCTGTTAGATATATGACAGTTGTATTTTTTATGCTCTAGCACTAAATATCATACAAATAGACATACGGCATCGCTTCCTTCATATCAGTACTACACCCGCTAAAGAGATCAGTATACTACACCCCTAATGGTCAGGGTCGTTACACAAAGATCATTCACTTACTTTGCGTCTAAATAACCGAATTCCTGAAAATATGAAATCTATCTCAAATATCAATCGCTTCAAAGTTGAAAGAGCATATTCTTCAAAGTCAGAGACTTGAACTTCTACGTCTATTTGAGTAGATGGGAAAAAACCATACGTACCTTTGCTATATTGTCCACTTGCAATTATATAATACATATGTGTTCATATATGTATCTTTATATGTGTATATATGGGCACTATCGTTTTGTTAATATATATCACATCCATTTTCAACAACATTCATATCGATTTCAACATGTTTTAATATATTATTACTAGTACGCTTATTTTACAATTGTCAATTTATTGTTATGTTTGTATGATTTCATATTTGAATAATGTTATATATCAAAACTGACATCTTTTTATTATTTTTTTCTTTGGATCTTCTGTGGTTACTAAGATGTTTATTCAACCGTATGTATTACTTTAGTTATTTCTTTTTGTGATTTGAATCTTAATAGACATTATTATCATTATTATTAATTATGTGTTCAAATAAAGTGAACTTTTCTTCTTCTACCTCTCCGATGTGACTTCACAAATTAATATTCTTCGAAGGTAGTGTGAGAATGACTCC